TCCAGCAAAGTAAAAAATTGAAACCACTTCACTTGCAGTCGAGCAAAACACTGTTTTCAGGCCAATTAACCCAGGGAAAAGAATTATTGCTGTAGTGGTACTGCTTCATTTAGAAACACAGGAAGAAAAATCTTCGCGCTTTTTGGAATTTCTTCCTCCTCTTCCCCTCTAATTTGACTCAAATTTCCTTGATGAGTTCACTGCAGACGTTTGCCCGGCTGTCCCAGCAGACCCGGGAGCCAGCTGGGGTATCCAAGTGCTGGGAATTCAGCCGGCAGCTCCTAATGGCATCTTCCCTCTCCCCATCCCGGTGCCCGCAGCACCCGCTCGCCGGCCCCGCGCTACCGCGCGCTCAGTAAAAGCCCTTCACTCGCTTGTTGTCCGGGTCGAACGGGGACTTGGTGTGTGCCTGGGCAGCGTAGGTCACTCCCATCCGCTCCAGCTGGTAGCTGCCACTCCTCACGAAATCCAGCGAGACCTGCAGGGCAGAGCCCTGGTGAACCCCCCAATGCACCGGGGGGACACCAGCCCCCCGCCACCGGCCCAGCCCCATTGCTGGGCAGCCTCCCCCACCACCCTGCAGATGTGCTTTCTGCAGAAAACCCAGCTCTGCCATCCCAGGAGGATGCACGGAGAGGAGGAAAATCCATTTTTAAAAGCACTCGGCTGAACAAAAAATAAAAAGAATGCGGTGTTTAATTTTTTTGGAGGTTGTGGGGTTTTTTTCCTGTGGATTTTCTCAGCGATGCCCAGCGCAGGATACATTTACAGCCAGGGACTATCGCCAGAGGGGTCAGAGCAACCGGCTGAGCGCAGGGATGGCACAGCCTGACGGGGTCAGCGGTTGCAGGATGGGACCAGGGTGGCAGTCAGGATGTCACCGCGTGGTGTGACGAGCGTGACCTGTCCTCTCCACCTGCGGGGCTCATCCAGTGCCGGGCAGTGCTAGTGGCTGAGACACTCCTTCCCAGGGCTGGGGACTCTCGGTGCTGGCGTGTTCTTATCACCGGGAAATTGTCAGTGAATCAGTAACAAACAGAATTTTTGTTTCTCTCCTCTTCGCCTCAGCCCTCGCACCTCTGCTGCCCCTCTGGCTCTCCAGCCCCCATGCCACAGGGTCATCCCCATCCTGGACCCCCTTCTTCTAGCAGTCTTCCAGTACCTAAAGGGGCTACGAGAAAGCTGGAGAGGGGCTTTTTGCAAGGGCGTGTAGTGATAGGACAAGGGGCAATGGCTTTAAACTGAAAGAGGGGAGATTTAGATGAGATATAAGGAAGAAATTTTTTTACAATGAGGGTGGTGAGGCACTGGAACAGGTCACCCAGAGAGGTTGTGGCTGCCCCATCCCTGGCAGTGTTCAAGGCCAGGTTGGATGAGGCTTTGAGCAACCTGGTGTAGTGGAAGATGTCCTGCCCATGGTAGGGAGGTTGGAACTAGATGCTCTTTCAGGTCCCTTCCAACCCAAACCATTCCATCATTCTGTAATTCCCCAGCCCCATGGACAGGGAGCATCACAGCCAGGTGCTGAAGGGCTGTATCCAGTGGAAGGAAACAAAAGGGCCACAGGAAATGCAGCAGGGCCTTGAGCAGCCATGCTGGGCACCCCCTGCCAGGGAGCTGCAAAGAGGGGGGCTCTCTGTGCCCTCTTCCAAGGACTTAGGCTTGGTGTGGGGTCAGGGCCCAGCACCAAGCCCTTGACGGGGATGGTCTGGGGCAGGGTCCTGGTGCAGGTCCCCCGAGTCACCTCCCCCTGCAGCGCAGCACAGCTCCCAACTCCATCTGCGATTACTGCCCAAACCGAGCCGGAGTTATCCCAAGGAGCAGGTTGATGATGACTGCACATCAACACCCACTTAACGAGCACTGCTTCCCCGTGGCAGCCACACAAAGGAGCTGTCAGGGCTGGGGACCCCATGGTGCGACCACCTGTACCGGTGCCTCTTCCCACCATTGCTGTTTGGGTC